ACTCATTATATATAATAATATATTATTTAATATATAAGATAATATTTAATATAATATCTTATATATTAAATAATATATTATTTTGCATAATGAGTTACTATCTCATTATATTATGAGATAGTATCTAATATACTTATGTGTCCATTCATGCACAACATTCACATGTGGACAAGTTGTTGGTATCTTCTGTTAAAGACTGAAAACCCACAGTGTCTCTGAAACAACCTGAAACTGACAAAAGTGATAAAATTAGATTTACTGAAAATTAACCAATAAAAAAATCAGACATTACTTTGAATTGAGGTTCAACAGAGTAAGAAAATAACAGAGCAAGATGACTACAATTACACAGATTATTCTGAAACTTAAGGTCCAATCCTCCCTGGCTGGAGGAAAATTAATGACAAATTCAAGAGAACTATGATATGAATGGTTACTAAAAGTCCAGAACAACCAAGTCCAGGAAGTAAAGGGGAACTACAAGGTCAAGGTCATGTGAGATGACCAAGGAGGAAAGTAAATCATTAACAAGTGAGGCTGGAATTTCCACAGAGACCTTCGGACAGATGAGACAAAATGTCCATCAGCTCTTTGGTCACAGACACAAAAAACGCTAATAAGTTTTAACTACCATCAATTTAATTGAACACAATCTGAATCAGTTTGTCAGGAAACAATTGTTACTATTTTTGTCAGTTTCAAGCTACTTCAGTTTCCACTGTGGGCTTTTTGTTCATTAACAGAAGGTACCAGTTATTCATGTATGCTCGCTTCCAAACTATGAACACAATTTGCCCCCAATATTTACAGTTTTATTTTTCTATGACTTTTATTATTATTAATAGTAATATTACTACATTGTGGAGAGACACGGTCCTGCTTTTATATTTGCCTTTAATGTTTAAATGTTAATAAATATGTTAACTGTAACTGTCCCAGTTTCTCCATTTTATTTTGATAAATTTGCTTTTACTTTATCACAGAGAGAGAAATGTTCCCACATTTAGTCTTGGAAATCTGGTGACCTTACGTTAATGCGGCTCTCACCGCTGCGTGTCCCCCCCACAAAAATGGTATCAAAACGTGCAGCTTGATTTGGTGAAGGGAGATATTACATTTATTGGGATTTGGAGTTACAATTTTCAACTGCCGAAACGCAGAGTATGAACGCCACCAACTGCCACTCCATTAGAGCTACAAATGAAGTGGATTTTTGACCCTAAATAAATATTTAAATCGCCGTCATGCCCACAAATATCGCCCTATCAGTATCAAACTTTATGTCATTGATACGCATGCCTACTCCGGTAAATAGTTTTCGAAATTTCCCCGAAGGCTCCTAGTCCCAGCGACCCCCAAAATGTGTCCCTCTGCTGCTGCTATACCCCAAATAATCCACTCAGAAATTAAAATATCCACGACGGTACCCAGTATCGCAACGTTCCTGAATTGTATAAATTCACAAACGCGTTCCCAATTCTTCTGAGGACTGTCGGCCTCTCTTCAGGATTTTCTTCTTCACCTTCTTCTTGGTTCCACCGGGGTCTCCTCTTCTGGTGGGATTTCCTCCCACTTCGCCTTGGCCTTAATCTGTTGAATTTTGTCCCTCAAAGAAAATATTTCTTTTTGGAGCTTTTTGTTTTCCTCTTTGAGGGACTCCAGTTCTCTACACTTCTCTGTGTAAGACGCTTCGGCGTTCTCTCTTGTTGTCCTATGTGTCCGATCAAGGACCACATAGGACTGCTCCATGGCATCGTAATCACGGTTTAATCTTTCCAGTTTTGATTTTCCTTCACCAAATCATGATTTAATCTACTTACTAGATTTTTATAACGCTGATGTTTGTCTCCAGTTGCTCGTTTTCAATTTGAAGGCTTTTCGCATTATTACTGCTGAATCTACGGAAAATCTCGATCGTATCCCTCAAATATTTATTTTCTTTTTCAGGTCTCGGTTCTGTGCCCTGAACATCTTCTGGCTATTTCGCAGAATTTCTATGGTAGCCAATAAAAAATCGTTTTCTTGCATTGCGGTTGGTTGAATTTCCACAACAAATAAATCTTTCCCTGCCATTGTTATTTCTCTCTGATCTAAAGCTGCAAATGAATCTCTCTGAGGAATCTGGGAATATAGAGACAGGCACCAGTGATGTCACAGACAGGATGAGTGACATCACAGTTTCACATCAAAGCTACAAGACCTCTGTTTCATGAGGGGAGACTAAGGGGGGGGGTGGATGTTTTTTTTTTAACTTTATTCGCAGATACACTGTGTGACGACAGAGTGAAACGTTTATTATGACTCAAGAAAAACCAAACAGATAAATACAGATAAACGGTATTCAGAAAAAGCCAAAGGGCTTCGGTTCCCAACATTCGAAGCAGTAAAGATTTAAATTGTTTTAATAACCATTTCCTGTCAAATATAAAACTTAATTGTAAAATGCAGCAAGACAATGCTTTCCCAACCTGGAACAATAAATCTGATATTTATTGTGACAATATTCATGAGATTTATGAGAATCTGAATTGTTCAGCCTGCTTTTAGTGAAGCCAAGTAAGACATCTTCCCGTAACAGCATAAATATTGCTTCTATGTTGTGGTGAATAAAGTCACACACATTCTGCCAAAAAGCATTAAAGGGACAATGCCAAAACAGGTGGACAACAATTTAGGGACATGAATCACAAAATGTATAATTTACATCAAATTATTTCTTGAATATAGAGTTCTCATAAAAGGATCAAACATCTGCGATAGCTTTTTATTTTAAACGGGTTGGATATTCTGTTGAAAGAAGTGATGTTTATGTTGTGTAAACTGTTCCAATGCTATGCTAAGCATAACTTCCTGATAAAACCCTTGGATTGAAAATGGATGTTTATTATGACTGTATTTCAATGAGTCTGCATTTTCTGTCCCATTGATCTTCTTGAAGGAACTCTATTGTTGGTGTGTCAAAACCGTCTTTTATCACAAAACCTGAGTGTTTCTCAAACTTGCCATCTTTCCAATTAGCTCTTTTATTTTCCTGAACCCCATTTGCGTAATTTTACGATCAATGGAAACGCATCTAGTTAAACCTTTCTGTGGATTCAGGTACGTTTAAAGTATTATTACTTTTCTTTTGGTTTTCGTGGTGAAAACTGCTGCAGTTTGACGAGTTATCCACAAAATGACCTTGTTTTGGAAAATGTTCAGTCTAGTAAACAAAAGTTCTGGACAAATAAGTTCTTATGGAAAGATGTGCTGAATCTCATAGCAGAAAAGTTACCTGTAAGTTAGTAAGTTAACACTTGGTGACATTTTGTATTTTTGCAGTATGGTTCGCCCATAAACCTCGGTCTTGGTTCGGTTAAAGTGAGCTCTGGTGCGGTTTGAATACTTATGTGAACGGCAAGCGGACCGGAGGCCACTCCAAAAGCAGGAAGTGGACTACATCACAGGGCATTCTGGGTAAAAAATAACCAAACCAACATGTTAGCCTAGCACTGGCGGGAGAAATGTCTTCTGCTCTTTTACTAAAGAACAAAGAGAAATCCTACAGCCGCTAAAACTCCACTCCATTTTTGTTCACACTTTAGCCAAGGAAGAAGAAAGTTGCTTCAGTTTTTTTTTTTTTTTTTTGCCATTTCCTTCAGCGGTTCTTCGTGCAGCGCCACCACAGGCAAGGAGGGGAACAGGTTTTTCAATCGGTTGGTTCTTTTTGGCAGTGCAATGTGAAAGTGAACCACACCATATAAAAATGTAACAAATGTTGCAATTTATTGGAGTGAAAACACCCTTAGGTTGAGCACGACTTTGTGTCCCCAAAAAACCCACCAAGAGTTCAAGAGGTAGGACTACTTTCCCAAGTTATTGTGTTTTAACATGATTGTCTGATGATGCGTTACATTTTCTCTCCTGTTGCCCATGGAAACCAAAGATGGCCACCTTAATCAGCCTGCTCAAAACGGCTCGGCTGCTGCGGCTGGTCCGCGTGGCCCGAAAGCTGGACCGATACTCCGAATACGGCGCCGCCGTCCTCTTCTTGCTCATGTGCACCTTTGTGCTCATCGCCCACTGGCTCGCCTGCATCTGGTACGCCATCGGCTTCGTGGAGAGGCCGTACACGGAGACCGGCTGGCTGGACAACCTGGCTGAACAACTGGGGAAGGCGTACAACGAAAGCGACTCCAGCTCTGGGCCGTCGGTGAAGGACAAATACGTGACGGCTCTGTACTTCACCCTGAGCAGTTTGACGAGCGTCGGGTTTGGGAACGTCTCGCCAAACACAAAAGGAAGGGGATTTGAGTTTTGTTGGGATTTCTGTAGGTTTGTTTGTCAGGGACATTGGGGACGTTCGCTAACTGGACATTTTCAGTGGCTGAAATTATACCAGTCGATGTTGGAGGGAACTCTCCTTCTGAGGTCCCTTTGCTGTCCTGAGTTGATTGTTCAGGGATGGAATCTGTTATGGTGATCAGTAAGGCGCCTTGCATTTCAGTGACTTTTTTTCTTGCTGTGCTTCGTCTTCGGTGGCTCAATCTCTCTCACAACATTGTTGGATGTATCTATCTCAACGATAAACCTGTTTGACAGCATCCTTCTTTCACAGTCAGAGATAAATCAGTTTTCTAATAGATTTGGTAAAGATTTCACAGAAGTTGAGGAACTTCTTTTGTGCGGCGAAATGAACTCCCAGGTGAATGTGTCTCTCAAAAAATGACACTATTGACTTTATAAGTGGAGCTTCCATTTTGAAAATTCGCCCTGGATGAAACAGTGACATCTAGTGGTGTAATTGATTAGAGTAATAATTAAAAAAAAAAATTATTTCGAAAATACCCATTTCACATGGATGAAGCATTTTGAGGAACAGCTCTAGGTAATCAGACGTGATCGAAATTTAAATTCTGAAAAAGAAAACATTATTGTGAATCATGAAAGATTCCTAAATATATTTGCTTTTGGTTCGACGTGGGGGGAAAAAGGAGCCCCGGAAGAAGGCTCTTATTTTGAAAATAAGCCGTGATCGTGCTTACCGTAATACGTGGCGCTCGCGCGCCATAGAAAAAGGTTGGACCGTTTGTTCGAAGCGGGGCTGGTTTGACCGCAGCGCCGCGGCCTCGGTGTCGCCTGAACTGAATGTCCGCCTCGGCAGGTCTGATTTCCGGGAAGAACGCTTTACAATGGACCGGTGAGGCTGATGCTGCATAACGGAGTTTCTGTGCGATGCCAAATCCACAGAAACTATTTAATCACTCGCTTATTTCTTCGCTAAGAAGCCGAACACGCCATAATAAATGTATTTATAATCACACTGGCCCACTTTGGAGAAATATCACGCACAGCTGTTTCCTAGGAAATCCGAGAACTCTATTTATTTTAGTGATAGATGTTAGAAAGTGGAATTTACGGATTTATAGAATAGCTACAAGAAAAGTTATTGACTTTGTCCTAAAATGTCAAAGATCAATAACATTTTTGTACAGAAATGTTGGCCCATTTTAGCTACTGCACTGTATGCGTTCTCAAAACTTGGTTGGGGCTCCTTTTGCATAAATCACTGCATCAGTGCAGCATGGGATGGAGGAGATCAGCCTTCAGGCAGAGTTTCCATGATAGCCATAACATTTCTAAATTAATCATTTTCAGTGGTCTTGTGTAATGCACTAACTTTCTGATAAACACAATTTTCGGTTGTCACTGGGCATGTCACGAAAAATATGTTTTGCTGGACATTAAATTACCCAGAAATTGTTATTTTTGGAGGTAGCAAAAAACATAAAAAACATGTTTCTAAAACAGTCAGTGGTTCCACCTAACCATAGCCACAGCAAATCAACATGTTAGTGATAGCCATCATACTAATAATAGCATTTAAGCTAGTTTTGATATCAATTGTAAACTTATACTGAACAAAATACGTCAATGATAGTCAAAATGCTAGCAATAGCCAACACTTTTTTCTTCTTTTCTTTACAATTAAAACAAAGTTCAAAAATTGCCATCATTTTAGATTGCTAATATTTTAGCAGGTTTACTTATATAGTTATCTATTAAGTTGAATAAGTGAACATGCTACTTATATCCTACATGCTATTTGCATGATTTTAGCTAACGTTTGCAATTAGCTAAATTTAGCTTATGTACTGTTGTTTGCCTACAAAATTGTGTAAGTCAATGATAGTCAATATGCTACAAATAGCCCACATGCTACTGGTAGCATTTTAGCTAACCTTAGCATTTTAGCTAAATGTTGCTTTGTCACTCTAACCTATATATGAGAACCATGAGACCCATTTCTTAGAAATACAAGATGGCTTCTTCTAGAATGGTATATGAATTGATTGCAGCAAAACCAAGTTAAGGGTCCAGGATCGTTTCTATTTGCACCTTCAGATTTGCTACGGTGGAGCATTATAAGGCAGCCATGGTGCTGAGTGGTGCTGGCGATGCTCTGGGCTACAGGAACCAGCTCTGGGAGTATAACGAGTCCGGACCAGCAATTCACCAGGTCAGGAAACTGAATCAGGAGCTGATGTCAAAGCAGAAAACTTAATGATGTTTGTCCTCTTCTGGCCCCCGTAGGAGCTGCAGGAGCTCGGCGGTTTGAAGAACATCAAGGTGGAGCTTCCTGATTGGCCGGTGAGCGACGACACCGTTCTACACCTGGCAACAGCTGAAGGACTGGCAACAGGTGAGGTCAACAACCCAACAAACCCACAAACTACAGCACAGCGATTAATTGATTATTCAAATAGTCGAAAACTAATTTAGCAATGGACAGTGGCAGTTTTAGCTTCACCTGGTTTAGATTTGTTAAAAATTGAGCCCCTTTCCCATCCAAGTATTAAATAAAAATAATTAATCAACAGATCACACTGTATTGATGTTAAGCAGAAAGAAGAGCGTTTCACATGTTTATGTTAAAAGTAAATAATATTTAGCTGCATCCTTTGCAGCTACATATTATATTATTGCTTTTGCCTCGAAGGCCATAAAAAGTTTATTTTCCACATTAAAAAAGGAAATATAAATTCTTTATTATGGTTTTTATGCATTTTAATATTGTATATGTAATATTAATCTGATTAATTGATTAATCATTAGAATAATTGGTTATTAATAATCGTTAGATACCTACCATAAATCTCTCGTCTGTGTTTTTCCTCAACTTAAAGATTTTAAATATAATTCCCATTTAACTGAAGTTCTATTTAAGACCAAAATTAAAAATGAACAATTAAATTGCCCTTTAGGTTGATTCTTAAAGCCGCTCAGATTTGAGTGTCCAAAAATGTTATTTATTTTTACTAAGTGGACCAAGAGAATTAAAGTCCAAACCTTGTTAAAGAGAGAACAAAAAGCAGCTTTTTTCCATCTGTGCTGGTGGAGCACAACAGTTACAGAAGAGATCTGACTAGACAAAGGAAAACACCTGATATACCGTATGCTGTCCTTCACACACAGACATGATATCGTCCAAGAAGCTCAGACACAATGTCTGTGGAGAAG